CCTGTGGACAAAGTTGCAATAAGTATTTCTCGTTCTGGAAGTACTTCTTCAGCATTTGGTTTACAAGGAGATCCACGTTGTATTGAGGTGGATCAGAACACATCTTTGAATGGTGTCAAACCAATAGCATCAGTAAACATGCTCGATATTCCTATAGTCCATTGTTGTGCTTTACCATGAAGATGAAAAGCATAATCAGTTGATGTTCGTGCTTGAGTCACACGTGGAATTTGTAAAGCACTGAGAATATGACGTGGTAAACTCATACAATACTGTATATTTAGTCCAATTTTGTCCGCTGCTTCACCCATGGACATTAACCATTGATGTCCGAGATTGATATCAGTTCGTGTTGGTAAAAAATCAATTGTTTGACGATCAAGCTAATCTTGTTCATATAGAATAAGACCCCAACCATGTACTTGAGTAAATAAATCAATCCAAAATGAATCATTGCCGATCGGTAATGCTTTCTTATTACTTTCATCAAGAACAAAAGAATAATTTTGTTTATAAAGGGTGTGGGTGTGTGGGTGTGGGTGTGGGGTGGTGTGTGGGTGTGTGGGTGTGGGTGTGGGGTGGTGTGTGGGATGTGGGTGTGGGTGTGGGTGTGGGTGTGGGGTGTGAGTGTGGGTGGGTGTGGGTGTGGGGTGTGGGTGTGGGTGGGTGTGTGGGGTGTGGGTGTGGGTGTCTCTTTTATCACACCCACACCCACATCGATGGTGTTATAGACATAAATTTTCGTCTGGTTCAAGCCACCATCTGTTGTCTTCCAATTGTTTTTCCAAATAGATTCGTTATAATTCGTTTGTACATTCATCACTAATAGTAATGATTCAGATTTTCTTTACACAGTGTGAAAATTGTGATTGCTTTTTGGCCAAAACCATATTTCATCATTTTTTCCGATTCATTCGAATGATGTAAATTTTTCAAGCGTTTGTAAAAACGTAAGAGGAACTAACAAATGTAAATTTTCACATGTTTCTGCTTTTATAACATGAATACAACTTATAAATCAAATTTAAAACGGATTTGAGATATTTTATTGACAGATGAAAATGAAATGGTAATCATATTACTGGTGGTGAAGACTCTGATTTGAATAGTGAATATGATTTTGCGACTACTGAATCAGATGACACATCCACCAATGAACATGTATCAGAAGAATCTGATTCATCATGTTCTGATATTGATCAAGATGATATTTTCACAGATAGTCAACCAGAAACAGTGGAAAAGGTTGCTGTTACTTGGTCTATACATCTAAATGCAGTACAAAATCGAATACCTGCTTTTAATATAATGAAAATAAAAGCAAGTTCAACTATTAATCCTCATTCTAACAGCATTATTACAATGATAACTTGTCAGACATGCGAAGAAAAGAACTAGAAAAGATTGTATCCACGAAAGAAAATCAAATAGAAGCAACTCCATCATTGTTTTATAGAAAATACAGTTTGAAAGTTTTTTAAAGATGGATAAAAATAAAGATAATTAAAGAAAAAAGTTTCTTTTCTTATCTATAGACTATTTCATATTTGAGTGTACCAGTATATTTCTACTATTCTAGACTGAAGTAGTTGGATCTATCATTTTATAAGTTATACTTCAATGCTGCTATAAAAACAATTCCACGTAATCTTTTTCGATATTGTATGCCTTTATGTTGCCCCTATGAAAAGTGATACATACAGGCCTTTATCAAAAGTGTATTTAGAGGCTTATAGGACATAAATGAATAGCTTAAATAAAATAAAAGTACCTGTTTATTGTAAGTTTCTATGGATGGGTCTACGTGGGTATGGGTGTGTGGATGTGGGCGGGGTGTGGGTGTGGTGTGGGTGTGAGTGTAGGTGTGGTGTGGGTGTG